CATGTAATGAGTCTATCTCATATATTAGTTTCATTTTTTAAGTTGCATTACTGAAATAAATGAACTTTTGCACGATATTCTAATTTTTCGAGTTTCACCTCTATAACTTAAAAAAAACTTCTATAGGATGATGTATCCTTAGTACTTCACTCCAGGCAAGTTGTCAAGAATGTATAAAGGCACTTCAGATGAACATTGGAAATCTAAATGTAAAGAAGAGCCTTTTTATCATTTATGGTAGACGTGTGATAAAACAAAGAAATATTGTAGTAGAATTCATACCTTAATACAGAAAATTCTTAAAATGAATATAAACAGAAAACCAGAGACTTTTCTTTTGGATTTAATGGAAAAAGACTTGGAATTTTTTTTGAAACTTTAATATTATACATGTTGACTGCAGCAAGACTACACACAGAAATGGAAGGCCACCTCAATTCCCACAATGGAGAAATGGCTGCAAAACTGATGGCTAAATTGACTGCTTTGATCAAAGAAAAATACAAAGGCTTTTATTTCTACTTGGAAACTGCTTTTAGACTTTGTGCTTGAGGTGGGAAAAATGAAATGTTGATTTTGGGTTTTACCGATTAGATTGTTATAGAAATGGCTAGTTTAAACAATTATGTAAAAGTAAAAAAGCTGAGGTTTGATGTTAATATCTTATTCTATTGTACTGAAGTGGGTTGGAAGTCAATGCCTTTTTGTTCTTTATCCTCTTTTCTTTCCCCACTTTTGTCTTTCCCTTTTCCTTCCCAATCTTTCCTATTATTTACTTTTGTATTTTTGTATGCTACATTATAAACTAATAAAATCTTTTTTTAAAAGAATTGTCTAGGAAAATTGAAGCAAAAAACTGAAGCAAAAAATTGATTTGTGGAAAAGTTGAAGTTCAGGTCTGAAAAGGTAGCTGAAGGAAAAAAAATGCCATTAAAAATCTTCCAATATACCTTGAGCGCAAGTTTAGCAGGGAGTCCCAATTAAATCCCAGGGCCCGGAATGCAGATATGCAGTACAAAGCATGGGGGAAAGTAGAGGTAGTCTATGTGCTTTCCTGACCTTCTTTCATAAAGCCGACTCACACTTTATTTTTTTTAATGTATTGTATTCTTCTATGATATCGTTTAAATTTTAGTGCAGACCCTTACAATGGACATTAAATTTTCATCATAACTGAAAACTCGCACAATTAGTTCATGCGGACAGAATACTAGCCTTTCAGCAACAAACCACCTCTACGGTAAAAGGGTCCGAAGTTGAAGAGCCAAATAAAATGGAAGAACTTTCGCCCTCCGGATTTCCCCCCCCACCCCCCGCTTTCCTTTCGGATGGCCCCGCCCAGCAGTACCTCGCCCTTTGCTGGCACCGCCTTAGTGGCCGTCTGACAATTAGTCGTTCCGCTACCCATCCGGCTCCTCCCTCAAGGTCTCCGGGCGGTGTGTTATCACCGCCAACCAGGCGTGTCCTTAATTACTGCTGGGCCGACGGATGGTGAGCAGCTGCTTGAGGTGGGATGACCTCCGCAAGCTTGGCCCGCTCTTGAGAAAACCAGAGGGGTGCGACCCGGTAAGAGCTCCCCCCACCCCGGGTTTGAAAGCTGTTGATCAGCCACCTTCTCCCCTGGGGCCTTGTGAAGGCGCTCGGCTAACACCGTACGCCATTCTTGCTGGCCTTTTCTCTCTTCCCGTTCCAGCACGTAATCAGTAAGGGGGAGGGACAATTGTGACAGCCTCTGTCCTCTCTCCATGGGTGGTCTCGAAAGGAACTCTGAAGAGTGCGGAACTCTCTTCCGCAGCCTCTCGTCTCTTCTACCCGTCGGGCAATAGCAAGATATGGCATCCAGTGGGCCTACTTTGCCCCCGGTGCAGATATTTCCCAGTTTTTCCCAGTGCGCTGGGGATAACCTCTATCCAGAGAGGAAAGATCAGGCTTAGTTGCAGGAGTGGGGAGGAGAAAGTGTAAGATGCTCGTCTCGGATGCCGTCCAGTAGTGGTTGATGGGCTAAAAGCTTTTATTAAGTGGGTGAAAAACGGCTGTCGGACGTCTCTGATGTGTTTTTACTGAACCAACCGCTGAATAGACTTCTATTAATTTTATTAGTTGGCAGTTCTGACTATATCTTCAAGATACACTCTGTATATATTATGTGCACACTCTTAACAGGAAATTGGAACCAAGAATATATTTCATTCAGTCCTGTCCCTATGTTTTGTTTGTTAGACTAAAGATTTTCTTTTTATAACTGGTCATCTAAACATCTAATGCTGTGAGATTAAGAACTTAAATCCAACTGTTTAAAAAACCACAAAAGTATCAGTAGGGACATAATCCAAAAATGTCAGAATAAAGTTGTAAGGAAACTGTTCTTAAAAAAAATATTTATGTATTAGATAACATTTACCATTAAAAGGCAACCTTCTTCAGTGCTGGAAGGAAGTTCCCTTTGCTCTGTAGCTTGTCCTGTCAATGTTAGTAGAGATGTTGTTTTCATCTAGGAAGTTCTTTGATTACATCACTCATTATCAAAAAGCCTACTGACTGAGGATTATTTACTTTTAAATTTTTATCCCGTCTTTATAAGTAACTGAAGTCAGCAAACATACATAATACTTCTTCCACCTACTGTTTTTCTCCCAACAACTATGAAGAAGGTTGGTCTGGGTGATTGGTCCAAAGTTTCCTAAGCCAGCACCTTAAGTACTACACTAAACTATAAAATGTTTTGATCATCAAAATTTGGATGCTTCACAACTGTTTCATATTTATAATAATTGCAGTGTCCCAAGGTCATGTGATCTACCTTTTGCAACCTTCTGACAAACAAACAGTCAATGGGGAAGCCAGATTCATTTAACAACTATGTTACTAACTTAACTGTAATAATTCAAGTAACATCTGTGGCATGAAAGACCATAAAATGGGGCAGAATTCACTTAACAGCTGTCTCACTTTGCAGCATAATCATGGTTAACAATTGTGATCGTAAATTGAGGATTACCTTAGACCAGTGATGTGCGGAGAGGTTTATGGCTGGTGAGGCAAAAAGAAAGAAAGCGGCTTTTGGCCACTGTCAAGAAAGAGGCTTTTGGCCGCTCCGGCACTGTGTCTGCCATCGAGGAAAAACTTCCTTAGACCAACGGAAGACTTCAAAAGCAGAGAGGACCTATGGAAAGCTTCAAAGAATCAATGCTGGATGGAACCATAGCCGCCCTGCTGCCCTGTCGCTATGTCCCAAAGCCCTGGCCTGCTGCTATGTCCAAAAGCCCTGCTGCTATGTCTAAAAGCCCTGCCGCTATGTCCAACATAAAAAAAAAGGTGCTAGCCCACGTGCAAGCAAAGGCGGGTAAAACACACACACACACACACACACACAAATTACTTACAATAATACAATTACTTACAAATTACATTAATTTTGAATTCCTCCCCCTCCCTCCGACCCACATACCTTTCCCAACTGCCATTATGAAAATGTAAAAGGAAAAAGGTAAGAGCTGCTGAGATCAGACTGGATTAGCTGCTGTCAGAGTCCCCAATGGATGACTCTGCTTAACTGTTTAAAAAAGCCT